AACATCATTCTGAGTGAGGTTAGCCTGGCCCAAAAGACCAAAAATTGTATGTTCTCCCTCATATGCAGACATTAGATCAAGGGCAAACACAACAAGGGGATTGGACTTGGATCACACGATAAAGCGAGAGCACACAAGGGAGGTATGAGGATAGGTAAGACACCTAAAAAACTAGATAGCATTTGTTGCCCTCAGCATAGAGAAACTAAAGCAGATACTTTAAAGCAACTGAGGCCAGTGGGAGGAGGAGACCAGAAACTAGAGAAAAGGTTAGTTCAAGAAGAATTAACTTAGAAGGTAACACACATGCACAGGAAACCAATGCGAGTCAACTTCCTGTTATAGCTATCCTTATCTCAACTAGCAAAAACCCTTGGTCCTTCCTATTATTGCTTATACTCTCTTCAACAAAATTAGAGATAAGGGCAAAATAGTTTCTGCCAGGTAGTGAGGGGTTGGGGGGTAAGGGAGGGAGCAGGGGTTGGAGGTAAGGTAGAGGGCAGGGAGAAGGGGGGAGAAATGAGCCAAACATTGTACGCACATATGAATAAAATAAAAATTAAAAAGAAATAAAGGATAGATTCTGATGAACAGTCCATGAGAAACTGAATCCTACTAACAACTATGTGAGGGAGCCCAGAATTGGATCCTCACCCAGTTGAGCAATTGGACCAGACTGCAACCTTGTCTGCACCCCCAACAAATAATAATTACTGTTGACTACCATTATCTCTTTATTCAAGTTTTACTTTATTTATCTATTTTGCCTAATTAATTATTTAATAATTTGTGTTATTTGATATACAAGAATTAACAACTGTTTTATTTTACCCATCTAAGTAACCATCCTTGACCCACGATTGTTTTTGCCTTGACTTTTGCTACGACTGAAAACATGGCTGACTCCTTTTTCTTTGTATTTGCACGCTATACTCTTTTTTTTTTATTTTCTCCAATGCTTTTCTTTCTTTTATTCATATATACATACAATGTTTGGGTCATTTCTCCCCCCTTTCCCCCCACTACCAGGCAGAAACTATTTTGCCCTTATCTCTAATTTTGTTGAAGAGAGAGTATAAGCAATAATAGGAAGGACCAAGTGTTTTTGCTAGTTGAGATAAGGATAGCTATACAGGGAGTTGACTTGCATTTCTTTCCTGTGTACATGCTATACTCTTGCCTATAGACAAGCTTAAGGTTTCTCTGCCACCCATAAGAGGAGGACAGCAGGAGCAAAATCATATTAGTAGAAGACTAAAAGTTTACATGAAATATAGAGTACAGAAGAGTATGTTAAATGACACCCTGATGGTGCAATCCAGCAAAGTCTGGATTTGTGGACAAATGACCCAATGATAATAAACTGAAAGGAAAAAAAGGCATGGGAGATGGAGGGGGAATCTATAAAAAGACATTAAGAAACATGTCAACCAATTGTAATGTTGTAAGACATTGTTTAGATTCTGATTCAAGTAAGTGAACAATAACAAGAGAAAAACAAATCATTTTGGTCCTCATACTGAATGTTTTTCAATGACTTTCTATTGTATTCAAAGTTGAATCCAGACTCATTACTGTGACCTTAAGTACCTAATCCTTTAACTCTACAATGTTAGTTGAATAGCCATCCTTTCCTTAGTGCAAATCTTACCACCTTGGAGATACTGCCATGCTGTCTGATTGGTATCCCTGTTACTTCCTTCCTCTCTTCATCTTTACTTAATTTTCTCTTTCTCATCCCTCAAGTCTCTTCTGAAATGAGTCCTTCCCTGATTTGCCCAATGAACACAATCACTATACTATTTACTTGTTCATTTTCTTCACAGAACTTCCTTATGTATATATCTGCTTTATGTTCCATCTCCCCATTTGAATGTAATGTGCATAAGAGCAGGGACTATGCCCTTTTCCCCCCCAGTATACTCAGAGGAGAGGAATGGAGCCCAAAGGTGAAGAAGAAGGTGGCCTCTACCGCTCTCTCCCTCACAATTGCCTTCCACTGAGGTCTTGCAGATTTAGAGATAAAGCACCTAAGTGTTATGAGAGGTGGCCTGACCCTGTTTCTTTCTGTCTCCACTCCTCTTTTCAGCTTTTTGCTTTGTAATAAGCTGTGATTTTTGATTCAGTTAGGCTAATTTTAAAGAATATCTTTACTGAGAAAAAGTTTCATTCATTCATTCATCAAAACAGTGAGCACCTGCAAAGCACTGTGCCAGATCTAAATATTTTATATATATATATATTTTAAAATTTCTTTTATTTATTCACATGTGTATACATTGCATGTTTGGGTCAACAGCTAAATCTTTAAGTCTTCAATGAAACACATTCTTGATGCTCCTACTAAAACTGCTTCCCTTCTTTCTCCAAGATATCAATGGGTCTCCTATAGCACTCCCACAGTAGAGAGCAGCTCACATCCCTGAGCTGTCTATCTTTAACATTCTATATAGCTTTCAGAAACATGGAACTTACGATTGAGTTGGACAAACAGGAGAAGGAAAAGAGGCAAAGCTGATTCTATTGTTGTCTAAGGGTGCAGGTGCCTTTTCACATCACTCAAATTTTTTTTGAAGCTACAGAACTGTACTCACACAAAGAGAAATTTCTGAAAAGCAGTTGTGAATTTTCCCAGAGGACCATGGTATATAACTCAGGTATTACATTAAAGTATTATTATTATTTTTTTAAAATTTCTTATACTTGCTTAGCATATTATAGTGTTTAAAGTACCTTCACATGTGATGATATATTCCATATAATAATACACCAGGAAACTAGGTTGAGTGGATGAGCTGTACTTGGGGGACCACCTGGTATTCAAGGAAGGATAATGGAGAAATATAAAGGTGGTGATTGGTCACAATTCTGGCAGGAAATAGAATCACTCTGACGTTCAAAGAAAGATATTTCCATAGAAGTATCTCTTACACATGTAGGTATAGGCAGGGTTAATGAACAAGTAGTGGATAATGAGGTATCTAGAGACTAGCCTTGGAGGAAAACCCTTTATGACCCCTAGGGGTGAGAGTTCAGTGAGAACTGAAAATATGCAGGAGCAGGCATTGGAATCCAGAAGGATGCAGCTACTTATTGCCATTGCCACAGGGCCAAGTGGGATGGACAGGAGAAATACCTCTGATCACTCTCCAACTTCCTGCAGGGCTCACTATAGGGGGAGCACAACATAGATCCAACAAACAAAAGAACTGTATACTGTATTTGGGGCATTAGCCTTTCAGACACAGAATGGGAGAAGAATGGAGTGCAGGGTAGGGTGGGGGAAACTAATGGAAAATAACTGGCACTGAATCCAAAAGTTAATGTGAGTTGGGAAAATAAAGTATTAGGAGAAGGAGGTCTTGGAGGGGAAAAAAGATTGTTTTCATAGAAGATAGATGAACACATGACTGTCACTCAGTCATCCTCATAGGTTGCTCTCTAGATTAACACAAAATGATGGACTAGATGGATGTCTTAAGTTCACCAAAGAAAGGACTGCACCCAGGGCTGCCTCACTGAGTCTCTTCTAGAACAGCTCTTCTGTTGCAAAGGGCTTGGGAACTAGTTGGAGGGATCAACTAAAGAGTTGCCCCTTAGGAAGGAGAAACCCAGCACTCTCCTCTCATCATAAGTAACAACTTTCTCCCACTTCCCCAGGGCCACTCTTCACACCTCTTAACTTCAACAGCACTTACTACCTCCAATTACATTACAGTGATTCTAACAGCATACTTGCAAGGCAGGGGTTTGAAGCAAAAAAACATTTTTCAGGCCAAAGAGGTCATTATTAAAAGGGAGAAGGAAGCTAACAGTTTTGGACTGTGGGCACAATCTCAGCTCATCTGCTTCATCTTTGGGCACAATGAGATATGTACTGTTAGCCCATTTTTCAGATGAAGGATTCTGAAGCTCAAAGAAATGACAGATGCTTCTGCTCATTCATTTGACTAACAAAAACTGGTTTTGCTTTCTGGTTAGGCATAACTAGTTAGGCATAAGAGAGGCTGGTTAGGAACATGGAGGGGGTAGGGGGTGGGATTAATGTGGAAACCCTTGTACTTTTTGTTCAATTTTGGTGCAAATCTAAAACTACATTAAAGCATAGTCAGTTCATTAATTCGCTCACAAGGCTCAGTTCTGGGCTCTGGAGACAGTATCCACTCCTGTGTGGGCTGTAGGAAGAAAAATACACTGATTTTTTTTTCACATAGCCAGAGAATTAGATCAAGGCCATATATTCAAGCTAGCAACTAAATGATGAACTCCCAGTCTATGCAGAAGTCACCCTTTCTTATAAGTATTTGTAGGAATTATGGCAGCTGAAGTTTGACAGTGGGAGACAGAGTAATTGGTATGAATCTGAAGTCCATAATCAAAGTCTTACAAACTGGGATGGGTGTGTATAATAACATGACACTGGCCCCTTTCACTTGACAATGTTAGTATGTCTACATTTACTGTATCACTGTATTAAAAATCTTTATTTAGCAGCCAAACACGCATATCTAGAATAGAGCCCAGTACAAATCAATATCACATAGTACAAATCCATAATAAATGCTCACAGACACACAATGAATGAATGAATAATTACAGCTACATTAGTACTGAACAAAACCAGCTGCAAAACAGACAACTGCTCAGTCCCCCACTGTTCCTTTATTTTCCCTGTCTTGGTATATCACAGATCCATGATCTCCAGAGTAAGGATGACACTTTTGCTATTATTATAATGGAGGCTGTTATTACTTGCCACTATTTTTGCCTTTTTCTCTCTTCTCTGCCAAATTTCAATTACTCAAAGAAAGGAGGAAAGAATGGCAGTGGTTACTACAGTGAAGCAGGCTTAAAGAAAATATCACTCAGTGGAGAACAAAAGGAAATTCCTGCTCCACCAACTGTTTCGGCCTTTGACCATGCAAAGGCTCTGGACAGGAACCTGCAAGACTAATTTAGGAAGTGGGTCTCATTTCCAAAACAATCCCACTCTCCCTTACCTTTTAATCAGATCCATCTCTGCCTGATCCCTCTTGTTTAGGAGCAGATTTCGGCTGGCTTCGAAGACATCTTCAATCTGGTCTGGCCAGAGGAACAGAGTGCTGTTCAATTTGATATCCTCTTCTGCAAAAACACACATAGTCTGCTCCAGGACACTGGTCAGTATGTGGGAATTAATTCAGCAAGTCAACCTAAGTGCGTGTGTGCAGAGAATGGATGACCCACTATAGATGAATGATAGTAAATTCAATAAACGGCTATGGCCAGGCTAGCAAGTAGATTATCATCATCATTTTACATATGAGAACCAAGTGTTTCAGCCAAGTTGTCAAGGTAATACTGTTAGAAGCAGTAGAGCAGAATTCAAATACAAGTCTGACCAACTTGAAAGCTACTCTTCATTGGTTTCCCAGGCTAGGTCTTAGTAGAGCCAGAAACCTGGGTTCAACTTCCAGTTTCACATTTCACATGATCTTACCTCACTCAGTTTCCCTTTTAGTTAAATGCAATAATAGTATCAATTACAGTTGCCCTGCATACTATGAATCAATGAAAATGTCCTGGTTCCTTGTGAAGTTAGGAGGCAGAGATCACAAAGAGAACACAGTATTATATACATGATCAAGGACTCAGGTAATGAGTTTATGGGTGGATGGTTAGGGGATTACTTTATACTCCAGTCCTCATCTTTTCCTCCTGTCAACCTTTCTCTCTCCTCCTATATATATACATTGTGAACATCAGTAACTCACAAGTATTTTCAGGTAGTAAACCACTCATGTAGAGCATATCAACTTTTCCTTCAGAACATGGTCCTACTTTCAAACTCCAACATGACCAAAGAAGCCTTCAAGGGGTCCTGATCATTCTTTCCTTTAAGATATGCAGAAGCATGAAGGAAAGTGTCCTGGTCCCACTTAAAAATATGACTTACGAGTATAGATAAGTAAACCTATCAGTTTATCAAAAGGATTCTGCATTTGGAAGTGTCTTTTTCAAACATCAACCTAACATATCAAGACAGCCATATAAGAAGTAGAGGCCAACTCTGTATGTCTTCTTTTTGATATTTAGTGGTAGGATTCTAGATCCCATCTTTCCCTGACTCCTTATTCCTAAAATACATAGACATCTTATATCTTTTAAAATTAATATTAAATATAAATATACATATGCATATGCATGCTCACATGTAGTGCTGGACTTACGGGGCAAGTCTGCATAGTCCATCAGGAACTCCAACCGTTCACTTGCATCTCTCAGTTGCCTCCTGAGTTTGAACACAGTGACATCACTGGATTTCCTTAAGAATTCAATGAGGAATACCAGCTCTTCGGTGCGGGAACCTCACGACTTTCTCAGCGATGTAGCTATACTGATTCAAATGCTACAGAGAAAGATATGGCTACCACCACCATCATCATCATCTAAAAAAGACTTCCTTCTAAGATTCATTATGCTAAGCAACATAATTCCTATTTAAAGTCTAAAGCATTGGTTTCCAACTTTACTTTCAAATCCTTTATGGGTAATATTCACATGCACAACCACATTCCAGGTGGTAACAATAATAACGTCATATATTGACATGTATTCAGCCTTACCAGGTGTCAGTCCATTCTAATTTTTACATGCATTAATTTATCTAATACTTACAATTGCAAAGAGGTAGGTACTATTATCTACATTTGATAATGGAAGAAAAGTGAGTCTGAGTAATTTTATCCAAAGCAACATGCTGTGTAGTTGTCAGAGCCAAAGTCTGAATTTTTGTTAATTGACTCTAAAGCTCAAAGTCTTGTAACAGATAAACTATATTAACTCTTGGGGGTAGGATCCGATTTAGAGTCAAACACCAATAACACCAACACCACCACCCCTCCACATTTATGTTAAAGAGGAGCATCAAACAATTTGTAGTTACTATTTTAGGAACAACTTATGCCACTAGAAACTTTCTGCAGAAAAACTGTATACCGCACAATGGGTTCAGAATGTTCTCACTTCTTGGTCTAGATTTCTGATGGCTGGTATTGTATTTCCCATTCTCATTTGTATTAGTCAGCTCATGGTGCCATAACAAAATACAACAGATGGAAAGGCTTAAACTACAAAATTTATCTTCTCTCAGTCCTGGAGGCAGGTTTCTAAACTCAATATGACAGCTAATTCGGTTCCTGGTAAAGTCTCCTTTACTGGTTTGCATATGGCCATCTGGCCGTGTCTTCATATGGTGGAGAGAGAGAGCTCTGGTGTTCATCCTCTTATAAGTGTACCTACTGGATTAGGGTCTCCCTTATGACCTCATATAACCATATCACCTTATGTGCACTGCCTTCAAATATATAGTTACATGGGGGCCAGAACCATAACGTAAAATTTGGAGAAACATAATTCAATCTATAGCAGGTCTAACTATGGGAATGAATTCTAATCAGTGGGAGTCAGTGATGAATATCACTTTGGGACAGTACATAAAACTTCCCTTGTATGCTCTTCCATACCTTCCTGGTCTCCCATCTGCCTAGGATATTGACACTTGAATAACCTTGAAAGCTAGATGCTGAAGATATAAAGTTGTCCTCTGTTCATTTGAGTTGCTGAATGCATAACAATGTTCTCTTCCACACATCTAGAACTACCCTGAGCAACAAATAAATTTCTATTGTATTCATTCATGACATCTTGGGCCTATTAGTACAGAATTTAGCTATGCTACTCTAATTCAGGTAGATTCTCTCAGTGATAGATTCCTATCTAAGTAGAATCCATTCTTATCCCCCTTGCATAAAAATGGATAGAGTGAATATTATGTGGCCATTGCATGCCATCTTCTTAGAAGGGTCCAAAAAGGGTGGGAGCAGAGTCACTGAATACAAGACCTTCTAAAAAAATCCTAAATATGGGTTATGACATCTAGAGTCTGATGAGGACAGGAATGCCACCTTCTTCATGTACTGATTGTGTAATTTAAATATCTAAAAGGCCAGCTGGGCATGGTGGCTCACATCTATAATTCCAGCTACTTAGGAGACAGAGATCAGGAGGATTTAAAGCCAGCTTGGACAAAAAGTCAGCAAGACCTCCATCTCAACAAAAAAGCCATGGGTGGTGGCATATGCCGGTCATCCCAGCTACATGGGAAGCCTAAAGGAGTCCAGGTTTGACCAGACATAAAAGAGAGACCCTATTAAAAAATAATTAAAGCAAAAAGGGCTGGGAGTACAGTTTAAGTGGTAGAGTGACTGACTAGCAAGTGTAAGGTCCTGAGTTCAAACCCCAGTACTACCTCCCCCAATATATCCCCTAAAATCTAAAAAGTCAGGGGTCCCATAAGCATAGGGCTTTTATGTCTGGTACAGAAGATGACATTGAGGAAGACTAATAACTCTTGCTTCATTCTGTGGTCTCTTTCTATTTGTAGTTATTGCTTGGACAAGATGTCTTACTCTGAAGGAAAAACAAACCAAAAGAATAATCCTTCAGGGTCTATAATTTTTGGTCAATACTTCAGGTTCTATCAACTTTAGATAAATGTCCCTGTATTAGATATGGATGGCATATTCATTTTCCTACCAATCCCCTGCCTCTAGGCCCAAAACACTCCATTGTAGGATTGCTCCTAGTCTTTGGAAACAGAAAGATCCCTGCTCAGCAATTATGTGACAGTGAGTACTAAGGACAGGGTTTGGATCAGAAGACACAAAATTAAACTCATCTACTTGAGCAAATTTTTTTAAGGTTAGTTTTTCTTCCTGGGCCTCCTTTTCTCCTCCATTAAGTAAGGGGTCTTATATCTATCCATGTCTCACCAATAACACAGGGCTGCTGAGAAGGTCCAGGGATCAGTCATTATTTTTAAGGCAGAATGAATCTTCAGAACTCAGTCACCAAACTGGAGTTTGATCACCAACCTAAAGTTTCTGTATGCTTAGAAATTCTAAGTTAAGAATAGGGTCCATGTCTTTATTTACATTAAAGAGGTCTAAGGAAGAGTGACTCTGGAAGCATAATAATACCTGACTTCAAACTATTCTATAGAGCCACTGTAACAAAAACAGCACACTACTGGAGCAAAAGCCAACATGCAGATCAATAGAATAATAAATCATCTAGAAATAAGCCCACAAGCAGGGACTCCATCTGATTCTTGACAAAGAGCCAAATGCAATCATTGGAAAAAGACAGCCTTGTTCAAAAGTGGTGTTGGAGAAACTGGATATCCTCGATCTCTATCTCTCCACTGTATAAAAGTCAATTCAAAATGAATCAAAGACCTTAATGTAAGACGTGAAACTTTGAAACCACTATAGAAGAGCAATGGAAAACACTGGGAGGTAAAGACACAGGCAACAAATAGGACTCCAATAGCTCAGGAAATAAGAGCCAAAAACAAATGAGATTGCATCAAATTAAAAAGCCTTTGCATATCAAAGGAAACAATCACCAGAATGAAGAGACAGTCTATGGAATGGGAGAGAAATATCTGCCAAATCTGACATTAATATCCACAATACATAAAGAACTAAAAAAAATTAAACTCCAAAAAACAAGTAATTCAATCAATAAGTGGGCAAATAAACTGAAAACTTTCAAATGAAGAAGTACAAATAGCCAACAAATATATGTGAAAAAAAAGGCTCAACATCCTTAGCCATCAGGAAAAGCATATCAAAACTGCATTGAGATGTCATCTCAACCCAGTCACAGTAAGTCTCATCAGGAAACGCAACACAAATGCTGGTGAGGATGCAGAGAAGTGGAGGGAGTAAGGAGTTTAGAGGAGTAGGATGTGGACAACACTCTAATTCACTGGTAGTGGGAATGTAAATTAGTCCAGCCACTATGGAAATTCTCAAAAAAATTAAAATACAACTCCCATATGATCCATCAATAACACTTCTGGGCATATATCCAAAAGAGTCAAAGTCATCTTACTATAGAAATACCTGCATACCAATGTTTATCATGACACTATTCACAATAGTAAAATTATGCAGCTGGCCTAGGTTGCCCAAAAATGGGAGAATGGATGAAGAAATGTGGTTAATATACACATCGAAGTTTCACTCAGTCACTAAGAAGAATGAAATTATGTCTTTTTTTTTTTTTTTTGGTGGTACTGGGGTCAGAACTCAGGGCTTCATGCTTGCTAGGCAGGTGCTCTTACTGCTTGAGCCACTCCACCAGCCCCAAAATTATGTCATTTTGCTAGAAAATGTATAGAACTGGAGAACATCATGTTAAATAAAATAAGCCAGTTCCACAAAGACAAATACATGTTCACTCTCATTTGTGGAAGCTAGGAGAAGCAAAACAAAACATGACCATCAAAAAAACTAGTCATGAAAAGAAAAGGGAGACTACTACAGAAGTGTAGAAGAAGGAGAAAAGGGAAGAAGAAGGGGAATGCACATGATCAAAGTACATTAGATGCATGTATGTTAAAGTCATGATGAAACCCCTTGCTATATACAATATAATTCATGCCTTTATTGGTATATTTTTATTAGAAAGAGATTAAGGAATTTCTTCTTTATTTTATAACGATGGATGCATGGGCCAAGTAAGGCACCATGTTGCTTTGATTTGACAGAAACAAGCAGATTGTTTAGAGGAAAAAAAATGTTTGATGGCTCAAATTTTCTAAAGCAGGTGACCTAGGATTTGAAGACTAAAAACCATTTATTTCCTAGTGTCAAACATTTATTTACTACATAGGCAAAGAAATTGAGAATTCAAGAGGCAGAGCCGGAAGTCGCACAAATGGCAAATGGAAGGTTTGGGATTCAAAATCAGGTCTTGTGGCTCCAAGCCAGAAATCTGATTACTCAGTGAGAAAGCTGAGTGTGGTGGTGGAAAGTGTTGAGTAAGATCAAAATAAACTCTGATTTGCAACCATGAAGCCCTCAGTTCAAATCTCAGTCCCACAAAAAAAAAGTGCGTCACTTATTGAGTCAGTCTCCTTTTCTTCATCAACACAATGGGGAAAATAATGAACAACTTCTGAAGACAGGTTTGACCTACATGATACAGAATGCTCACATGGTGCCTGAAGTATAACTTATGTTGCTATTATTATATTAATTTGATGACAATTTCTGATATGTGTTAGGCAGCCTTTTGATTGTGACAAGATACCTGATAAAAACAACTTACAGGAGAAAAGACTTATTTTGGTTCACATTCAAGGTCAGCTGGATCACCTGGGCTTGAGGTGAAGCAGAATATCATAGCAGTGGGAGCATGTGGTGGAGCAGGCTGCTTACATCATGGCAGCCAGGAAGCAGAGAGGAAGATAGGAAGTGGCCAGGTAAAAGATACCCTTCATTTTCTAAATTGTCTTAGTCTGTAATTTAAAGAACTCAAAACTCTAAGGATGGAAGT